TGATCGTAACAACAATGGGGTCTGGGGGGAGGCGTGTATAGCGGTAATATTTGTGCCTCACAGCAATAAGGACCTGAGTTCAATTCCTGACCCGTGTGCCTCTCTCTTCGTGGAGTTTGTGTGTTCGCTCCCTGTTCTGCATGGGGTTCTTCCAAATTCTTCGGTTTTATCCCAGAGATAATTTAAAAAAACTTAATAATCTATCTATTCTGCATGTACGTTGAACTTCTTTCGCACCGTACGTGGTTAAACGTGATAATCAGAGGCGGGGAGAGGATTGGCACCAACACGTTAGCAGATCAAACCATAATCTGTTTCGGCAGCTAAACGCAGCGCAACCTGTGGCAACATTTTCTGCAAAAAAAAAAACCCCGGTAATTTGGGATTAAACGTAGCAACATCGCTCCCATCATCAGAGACAGACTTAGCAGGACCCTCCTGAAAAAAAAGCGTCTTGAGATTCAATGAGGCTTTTCCGCGTATAAAAAGCATAACAATAAATAAATAAACCCTTATATGCATTTCAAGTTGTACCGCTCATACAGGATGAAATGCTAAGTTATTTATCCGAACACATTCTGTTTTATTTAGTAAGCCTTCGGATTTCTTTTTTCTGCGATGTATTTTGACGTTCCTCTGCGCACGGTCACGATTCCTGACGTCACGTCAACCGCAGCACTCGGGCGGAATGAATAAAACATCTCGCTTATTAAGTATACATCTTGTTTATTGCATTATGCATCCGACACGGCTCGAGCAAAGCAAGCGATGATTCGGTCGGGAAAATGAAGCGACCTAATGGTAATTAATAATAATATATAAATATGGGTGTGTGGAATACGAACGTATGCACGTGTATAGATGCGTAATGTCACTGGCGGTGGTGGTCCTGAACGATTTGGTGCCCTAAGCAAAAATGACATATGAAAAAAAAATATACACACACACTTTTATTTATTTAAATATATTTAATATATCTATGCTGCCCCCCAACCCCGCCCTTTTAATTTATAAACTCCTCGGAAGATGACAAAAAAATATATAGAGGCAAGAGGTCGAGATGCAGTGAGATAAGGGAAATGTCGACACAGAATGAGGTGGAGTGAGATGACAGAAGGGACTACATAGAGATGAGAGAGATTCATCGGCCGGTTGATGTTCATTGGCTCGTTATGTTAATTACGATTTGAATTTGAGATGGTAATTGATGCACCCATATATATATTTTCCCCCCGCATAAATCCGCGAGCCCCTCGAGCTGCTTGGGCCATACACCTCCTTTGCAATTTGCTTTAGCCCCGCGTCGCCACTCTGACGCGATGTACCGCGCTCGTCGTGCGGTGCAAGCCGGTCGTCACATTGACGGCAATCGCAAATCTCCTCGCGAAACAAATCACCCTGAAATGTGGCTTAGTGCATGAGGTGGGAAACCGCTTGGCAATGCCGGAAAGGCGTAGGCTCTGAATTTCAAGGTGGCCCAAGAGTGGCAGCAGAGCAGCGGGCTTTCTCTGGCAATATGGAATGGCCAAACGTGCCATTGCAGGAATCCTTGAGAATGCGTCTTGAGACTCAGCATGTGCTTTCCTGGGCAAATAAAACGGCATTATCACTTGTATAGGCGCGCTGTCAACGGCGAAGGTCTCAGACACTCCTTATAGGGGTCAAATTTTGACCCAAAGGTCACACCATATTTTTTTTTACACGCAATAAACTTTGTAATGAATGTTTTTATTGATTGTACTAAAGTACACACAGACTGACCTAACCATGCTTATATTTGCATATGACCGCATGTCAAAATGAACTCATTATGCACTGACAAGTGTGGTGTGTGTGCCCGTGAATACGTAGATGCGTATCGCAGAGTGCGAGCATTATTAAGATGCAGCGAGTAGCTGCGTGTGGATGCAAGCACGGACGCAATGACTCGTAATGCTCTAATGCACGCACGCGCATTAGCCCGAAGAGCAATAGCACAATCGCAAATAATACCTTCATATTTTAAGCGACGTTGTGAGCACTGGCACTCCTTCATCTTTCTTATCAGACGAAGGACCATTGCTCAAAACGTCACTTCATTGGTCATTTCTTTCCCTTTCAATTTTGTTTTACTTAATAATCCCCCTCAAATGTTGCATTGAGGTGGTGCTCATCTGCTCATCTCTCTCAGTCCTGAGCAGGTGGTGGGGAAGGGGAGGAAAAAGATAAACTTTCCCACAAAGCGGTACCTATCTTGGCAACCCCCGGGAGGGATGATGGGCCGAGTCAACCACCCCACCGGAATTGGGAACTCGCAACCATTTCCTGAGTTGTCTTCTCTGGTCAATGTTGCTGACGGCACGCGTTGAGCTTCTGCGAGTTGTGCTCGTTGTGCCAGCACCAACGCAAGGTGTCGTCACTCGGCTTTCGGGACTCGTTCATTGCGCGACAACAGCCGAGCCGATGAAAGCGTGAACCTGCAGACGACGACAGTGGAGGACAATCGACGTGACACTACGCCAGGATCTCTGTTGTTGCTGCTGCCGCCGCCGCTGCCGCCGCTGCTCCTACTGCTGCTGTTGCGTGTGCAACACACAACAGTGGACCTCACTATACCCATTGAAAAAGCAGACACTGTACGCCTCGTGAATATTTATCAGACTTCACTCTGCCAGAAAGACAGAGCGCAAGTCCGCGGTGCACTCGCCAGCACCAAGGCGAGCGCCTCGCGGCCCTGACACATCGCGCGACCCAAATCACGAACAAAACGCAGTAATTACGGAAGGAATGCACTTTAATAGGGGGGGGGGGGCAATTGACGAATTCGCATTCCATTTGTCACCGTCGATTTTCTCGGGGCGGCGGGGGGTTCGACCACAGCTGCTTCCGCGCAGAGCCGCGGGCGAGAGAGAGAGAGAAAAAAAAATATCGCCGAATAAATGAGATACCTTATTGGAAATGTTTTTTAGTTTGTTTGTGTAAAAGAGATGTAACGTCGAGGAGAAGAAAGGTCCATGCTCTACATAAATGCAGTGGGGTGGCGGACAGACAGGGCCCACATCTCACAGCGCAGCGTTGTTTTATACTCGGGCTTTCCCATACATCACGGACGAGACTGATGCACTTTGGGGGCCGAAGGCCTTTAGTGGCGAAACAATGATGCACATTGGCATTCCGTACGTAAATGAATTATATCTTGAGACACGCAGCGTGTGCACGGCGTTGCGTGTCGGTGTGAATGTAACGGTGGAGCCCAAAGTGTTTAGGAACAAAATATGAAGAAAAAAATTGTCGAGTTGTCACTCAGACTTAATATTACGGTTCCTTTTGAGACCATTACATGAAAAAACAGAAGCTCGATATCTGTTTAAGCAGTCCTTTTTATGTCCATCACCCTTGCTGTGAAAATGAGAATAAGTGTGTGCATGTGTGCACGTACAATGGGGAGCGGTCGTATAGTGGTTAGCGCTATGCTGCGCTACGAACCTGGCTACCCGAGTTCGATTCCCGCTCACGGCCAACACCAGTGACGATTATCTGAACCGGTCCTGGGCCTCCCCTAGGTCGACTCAGCCTCAAATGAGTACCTGGTGCGATGTGTAAACATCGCCACTGGGGAGACAAAGGCGGCTGGGCGTGGTGCTTGCCACCCACCTCCTTCGTGTGCCGTGCCAGCCTTCATAGGTGCTCGCTAACAGCACTTGCCCCAACAGTCTGTTAAGGCTATACAGGGGATCTTTGTCTTTTGTGCATGTACACACACGTGCGTAGGTCGTTTATCTGAACGTGTGTATGTGTACGAGCGTGCGTAGATAAATGTGCACGTAAATACCGCACACGAGTATATGTGCATCGATAAGAGTGTCTCCATGTGTCTATGTGAATGCATTTCGGTGAATATAAGTATACCTTTGTCTATATGAGTGGATGTCTAGACATGGTATATGTTTATTTATTTACACGACTAAAGGTGTTTTACATTGTGTATATTTGTTTGCTAATACTGTGTGTGTTAATGCATTTCTGAGTGCCTTTATGACTGTATGTGTGTCTATATGTCGACTCAGCCTCAAATGAGTGCCTGGTGTGGTGTATAAACATCGCCACTGGGGAGACAAAGGTGGCCGGGCGTAGTGCTGATCACGCATCTCCTCGTGTACCATGCCGGCATTCATTGGTGCTTGCCAACAGCACTTTCCCCAGCACTCTGTTAATGCTATACGGTGGTTCTTTGTCTTTTAAAGCATCTCAGTGTAACTCTGTGTGGCAATCAGAGTGAGACTGTGGGAGGCAAATGCAATCTTTCATGGGAAATGCACCATGGAAGTCCACAGGAATATCTAAACGTACATTTAAAACAAATTGTATCCTACGTTCACGCAGTTCGTGTGTGAACAGCACCTGGAGAGGCTGCTGTGGCTTGCATTATGAAGAAACTCACCACCGCCATAGGACTGTGGAATATCCACCATCGGCTCAGGCCCACACCGACAGAGGTGATCAGCACCCCGTGCTCTTTTTATTTTGCGTACGCCAGACACCGACGGCTCCGCCGCTTCAATCACCGCTTTCAAATCGGCAGAAGTCAGCGGCGCCCACTAATGCGTCAGATCACTGATTAAAGAGGTGCTTTCACAGAGGCCCCCCGAAAACACGAAGCAAAAAAATGAGGAATGGAAAGGCGAAGACACTTAGGGTTGACTTATGATGGCCAGCGGATACTATTTCAATTCAGCGTCCGCCTCGGGACAAGCAGAACAAAGCGGCACAAGAGTCATCCATTGCGCCCCCCCCATACCCCCCCCCCCCGTGAGCAGTAAAACAAGCCCCTTTTGTCCCTTCCCCCCAAAGACAGATCCTAACCATATTTTTTTTGACAGGTTACCGTGATGGACAGAATGTGCGAAAGGGCCACGGGTAATACGAAATGGCTTTCCTAATGTCTCTCTCTTTCTCTCTCTCTCGCTCGTGTGATCTGTCTCTCTCGCTCCCCCCCCCCCCACCTTTTTTTGTTTTTACAGGAATTTAGAGAATCTTTAACGCTCAAGATTGTGCCCCGACGGCAAACCTTAACATCGCTGCGACCGAAAAGCCGTGCTGGATTTTGTGACGTGAATAGAGACGAAGCCAACCTGAGCCCTCCGCCTTGACCGCTCCTCGGCACAAGGCGGCGCGAGGGGTGAAGAGTTGAAAGTCAACAAAAAAGCAGGGCTGTGGCGTAAGGGCGGTCTACGACCGAGGACGGGAAAAATAAACCCAACAACAACAACAACGTCTGAACTGCAAGACGCGCTGCACCGCGTACGGATACAAACCTTGCATCAGGCAGGCGAATCGATAAAAACAAAACAATTAAAAAGGAGACCGATGGCGAATCCTTGGCGCGCCGTGAGCCTGGCGCTGGCGGCCGTGCTGGGGGCGGCCACGCTGGTCACCTCGCAGTGCCCGTCACGGTGCATGTGCGAGGTGCGGCCCTGGTTCACGCCCAACTCCCTCTACCAGGAGGCGGCCACCGTCGACTGCAACGACCTGAGGCTCCGCGAGGTACCGCGGAACCTGTCGGAGGGCGCGCAGGTGCTGCTGCTGCAGAGCAACGGCATCGCGGAGATGGGCGCCGAGCTGGCCGCCCTGGGCAACTTGACCGAGCTCGACCTCTCGCAGAACAATCTGACGCACGCCGGGAGCCCCTCGTTCGCCGGCCTCGGCCAGCTGGTGATCCTGCACCTCGAGGAGAACGTCATCAGCGAGCTGGCCGAGGGCGAGCTCCGAGACCTCGGCGGGCTGCAGGAGCTCTACGTGAACCACAACCAGATCGAGAGCGTCCACCCGGGCGCCTTCCTCGGCCTCAGGAGCCTCATCCGCCTGCACCTCAACTCCAATCGGCTGCGCGCCATCGACAGCCGCTGGTTCGAGTTCACGCCCAACCTGGAGATCCTCATGGTGGGCGCCAACCCGGTGCGTCAGGTGGAGGACATGAACTTCATGCCGCTCTCCAAACTCCGGAGCCTCGTGCTCGCGGGCATGGGGCTCCGCGCCGTTCCCGAGAACGCGCTCATGGGACTCGACAACCTGGAGAGCCTCTCGTTCTACGACAACAAGCTCGCCGCCGTGCCGCGCCTGGCGCTGCGCAAGGTGCCCAGCCTCAAGTTCCTCGACCTCAACAAGAACCCCGTCGCTGTGATCCGCGAGGGCGACTTCCGCAGCATGCTGCAGCTCAAGGAGCTGGGCGTCAACAACATGATGGAGCTGGTGGCCATCGACCGGCACGCACTCGACGACCTGCCCCAGCTCACCAAGCTGGAGGTGACCAACAACCCGCGGCTGTCGTTTGTGCACCCCGACTCGCTGCGCGCGATCCCGCGCCTCGAGACGCTCATGCTCAACAACAACGACCTGAGCGCCCTGCACCGGCGCACCGTCGACGCGCTGCCCAACCTGCGGGAGGTCAACCTGCACGGCAACCCCATCCGCTGCGACTGCATCGTGCGCTGGATGACGGGCAACGCGACGCGCGTGCGCTTCATGGAGCCGCAGTCCACGCGCTGCGTCTCGCCGGCCGAGCACGAGGGCAGCCCGGTGCGCTCGGTGCCCTCCTCCGACGTCGCCGACGGCTGCCTGCCGGCCATCGCGCACGGGGCCTTCCCGTCCGGGGCGACCGCCGACCCGGGGGCGACGCTCTCCTTCGTGTGCCGCGCCGTCGCCGAGCCGCCCGCCGACATCTACTGGGTGACGCCGTCGGGCGACAGCGTGGCGCCGGGCGGCGCGTCCGACAAGTACCGGCTGAGCGAGGAGGGCACGCTGGAGATCCTCGACGTGCGCTACGAGGACACGGGGCTGTACACCTGCGTGGCGCGCAACTCGGAGGGCCTCGACTCCAGGGCCGTGACGGTGCAGGTCAACGGCTCCGTGCCGCACGTGCCGGGCCGCCTGCTGTCGCTGGACGTGCTGAGCGTGGCGGCGCGCTCCGTCCTCGTCTCGTGGCGGCTGCGCCCGGGCGGCCGCGCCCCGGACCTCCGCTGGACGTCGGCGACGGTGCGCATCGGCAGCCCGCGCGTCGCCTTCACGGCGCGCGTGCCGGTGAGCGTGCACGAGTACAACCTGACGCGCCTGCAGCCGCGCACCGAGTACGAGGTGTGCCTCGCCGTGTCGGCGGCGCCGCGCGGCTCCGGCCGCGCCGAGCGCTCCTGCGTCAACGTGACCACGCGCGCCGAGCGGCCCGGCGCGCCGGCGGGAGAGGAGGGCTACCGCGGAGGCGACGCCGTCGGGCGCGGGACGGGCGCGGCGGCGCTGGCGGTGGCGCTGGGATCGGCGCTCGGCCTCGCCGCGCTGCTGGCGCTGCTCGCCTGCTCGGCGCTTCGAGGCCGTCGCCAGCGCTGCCACCTGCCGAGCCATCTTGACCTGCAGCAGCAGCAGCGGCGGCGGCGACGGCGGCGGTGGCACCAGCGTCGGCGATGCCAGCGCTACTGCGAGCGCCCGTTGAGAAAGTTCTCCGCGGGAAGCTGCTCCTCGCTGCAGGAGCTACAGCCGCCGCCGCCGCTGTGGGAGGAGGAGCGCGGCGCGGAGGGGTGGCCGGTCCCCGGGAGAGTCGGAGGTGGTGGCGGCTGCGGTGGCGGCGGTGGCGGTGGTGGTGGGTTTTGTCCGGTAGATACCAGCAAGAGTTACAATGCTCTACAGCCACACTGAAGCGAACTGTGCTGCAGGCAAGGCCTTGTCAATAAGCCCGTCGGTCAATTATCTTACAATGAAAGTTTGTTTGCTCAGTTGGTGATTTACTTACATCTTGTTTCTTCGTTATTTATTGCTACTTCACTTCATTTTACACTTTTTTTATTTTACTTTGAGTACGCAGTGTAAGTTTAAGCACATTCGAGCAGTATGCGTTCCGAGCGCCCGAGGCCATTTTGCCGTAAGAACTGAAGCGACGTTTATTTTTCTAAGATGACAAAAAAGGGACAATGTTTTTGGACTCACAGGCTGACAACGACGCAAGGAGGCTAGAACGACCGGAAGAATAAGAAGAAGCGCATCGTGGTGGACAAGCGGCGCTTGGCTAGTCGCAGAGGGGGACTTTTGTCGTCCTTCGTAATTTGTGGGAATTAAAAACAAAAAGTGCGTGGAGGGAGGGGAAAAAAAGTGAAATTTTCACTCGATAGTTAACGAAACAAAAGAGTTGGTGTTGCGACGCAACGTGTCTGGCCAGTCTACGATTTTTTTGTGCGAGTTTTTTTTATAGATGAAAAAAAATTGTAAAAAAATACCTTCAACGAACGTCCCTTTTTGAAATTCGCCCAAAGCTGTACATCCGAGCAGCCCCATCATATGAGTGGGCGTTCATTTTACGCGTTGCGTTCGAAGATTTTCGGGAAACACAACTGAACGGCATCAATGGGAAGAACTAAAACATGCACACGTATTGTCCGATGTTTATAGCTGCCCAACGTAACGATAACTGTGTTTTCTGCTTTCAAGCTCCACAACGTGCTAATTTCTAAATGCCTAAACGGTTCCAATCGTCGCATCTTTTGCTAATCTCATTTCTTTAAATGTCACCACCAATGTGTTTATCATGTTCTAAAAATGGCCCATCTTCTCGGTGGTATTTTATAGCACTGTTAATCTGGGTATCCGACGCGTGTTTAGATTACTTCCGTGCCGTCTCGTGGCTAATATGTGCTTACGACAAGATATGACATCCTATTTGCAGTCTATATATATTTCGAAAGCCAAGAATACAGTTTCTCATTTAAGGGGAACCCATTGCGTTTAGTCGTGTAACGTTGTGTCGAAAAGAGTCAATGTCTCCTTGTTCAAACCAGCAATGGGGTGGCACTCATCCTGATCAGCAAGCACGAGGCAGTGGTGGAAATTCCACATCACCTCAGCTGGGATCAGTCCCTTCGTAGGACAAGTGCTTTTAGCGAACCTCTATTTAGGCCAACAAGGCACACGAAAGGGTGGGCGACCATCATGCCACATTTGTATTCCCAAATGCTGATATTTTGACAATGCACCATGTATTAATTTTAAGGCTGAGTCGACCTAAGGGACGCCGAAGACCGGTTCAGATATTAGTCACCCGACGTTGGCCGTGAGAGGGAATCTAACTCGGGTCGCTAACCACTACACTACCGCTCCCCGTGTGCCACTCCCCACACACACTTAACCGTGCCACAAATTGTGAAATGTCCAATTATTTCAGTATTCGCTCATGTCAAGTGTAAGTGCAGACAATTCTTGAGAGTTATTTACACAAATGAGGCATGCTCAGACCACGTTTTAGCGGGGATGGATGTTGGAATTTGATTGTCGGGTATCTTTGTGTGCACTTAAGAGAAATAAATTATTTTAAAAATATTTAGCCGAATAAATTCCTAATCTAACTGCTTAAAAATAACTCAGGAGAAATCCGGAAAGCAAATGCAATCTATAAACATTTCTTTTTATTTTACCAGGTGAGGCCGACTGAGCTATACAGCTCTTTTTTCAGAAGCGACCTGGCCACAATTGGTAGCTCAACGAAGTGGCTCATGATGTGAAAATCTATAGCAGCCAAATACGCTAAACGCATGTTTCTAAATGTGGAGAGAAACATTGGAGGAAAATCCACGTGACCACGGGGATAACACGCAAACTTCAAATATACATGAAAAAGGGTCGGGATCGAACACCACGACCTCCTGTATACCAAGAAAGGTAGTTAACATCTCGCCACCGCGGCACCCAATCAGTAGACGTGTGAATGATACTTGCTTATACGCAGCCTGCTCTACACAAGCATTACACTGCCCACGAGGCCAGGTGGCTTTGAAGTCATCGTAGAGGCCTGGTCGTCAAGACGAAACATTGATAGGCAGTGAGTGGTGTCTCAGTTCGAGTTTGTGTAAACGCAGCAACACAAAACAATGCTTTGGTTGGCCCTTCTCGATCAATATGTGCCACGAGCAGATACTATGTTTAAACGAAACGACACTATCGACTGGTTTTGACTTCACCGAGAGTCTTCAGCTCGTTCTGGCCTCAAAATCAATGCCATCGCTTGGGTACATGCAAAGTGTGCATCCACTGTTGGCTTTCATGGGCGTCTGGACACTGGCAATGTTGTTTAAATGTGTCTAAGAGACACCCACAACATATACGACAAGGTTGATCATATATCTGAGTCACCGCGCCGATAAGGAAACCTTTAAGTACACACTCACAGTCGGCCGAGTTACCAAGTCAGTGGTCCGTAGCTGCGTAGGTTGAGTATAAGTATCGTGAAGTCGAACTCCTCTCGTCTGTGATAAAGTGGAGGTTGGGCTGTTCGGATCCTATCAGTGATCTACTCAATAACCACCAGTGGGGACAGTCCTCGGGACCCACCACCACGCTGTGCTACGTCTTTCCGCGCGCCCGAGGATTGTTAAACGCGTCCCACGTGTTGCAAGGAGCGGCTACAATATGCGAGGGGGCCTTAGGACTTATTCGCCTCTGGGTTGATCGGGCCCTGGCAGTGAAGGCAAAATGTTAGGTCGCAGCAAGCAAAAAAACACACAAAAAACACACAAAAAGAGCAAAACAATTGCAGGCTCTGCCCCCGAATACGTCTCACGCTTTAATGAAATGAAAATTCAGCGGTAAAACGAAAACAAAAACAGTGGTGTTTTCAAATCACCGAAATAAAATGAGATCTCAAACGACACGCGTGGCGCCTGCTCCGAGGGGGATGTTGGCTAAACGGCAACGATGTTTCTCCGGCTCGAAGTTGTGCCAGTCAGCGGAGTTCCATCCACGGGTTTCGCTCTTGTTGCAGGTGGCACCTCCGAATGGCACGGTCGGCTACGTACGGTGCGGAAGACGTTCAACAAACATACCGTACATGCATGCATGCATACATGCACGTGCAGCTGGCTGATTCATTCGACGTGCACACCATGAAGGTGGATGCAGTGGAGTAACGAGCGTGGGGCAGGCATGGGGGATGTCTTGCCCACCCCGTGGTGGCCAAAGATACGAGTTGGACCCCCCTTGACAACCACCTTGAGATATGTTTTCAACAACAGTGCAAAAGAACACCGCGCTTATTTAAAACGCGGTTTAAATGTATGTCATGGAAATGCTTTCATGAACGTTCCGCGTTTTATTTCAATTGAATTAGAGCAGTAATGTAATATTGCAAAGAAGTACTACGGAGCTGGAGTGGCTGCATCTTGCAAAGATGGAGCAGCCCCTACAGCGTTAAATGTTCGAGACCGTGAGCGTAGCGATGTTGTGATTAGGCAAGAGGATCTGCGATATATAATAGCCTAGATGCGACCGTGCGAGACAAATCAAATATTGGGGTCCCCACCCCATCAATTGCCGCACCTCATGAGCTAATGCTGTAGTCACTACGCCATTTGGTGGAAGCAGGGCCGGATTAAGGCACGGGGCATTAGGAGCTGCAGCCCAGGGGCCTCCGCCAGCTGGAGGGCCTCCAGAGATTAAGTGAAAAGTTATTTCATTTGTGAATGCTGAATTTTGTTTGTTGTTAGCCTTGTAAAAATAAATTTTTTACTTTGATTTCCTTTTCAAAATACTACTGGGGGCCTCACAGTACCTGTAGCCCAGGGGCCTACAAAACCTTAATCCGACATTCGGTGGATGCAATGGTTTCATACAACCAAGTGGTTGATGCCGAGGTGACACCTACCACCAGACCCGTACTCGCAGCAGGAACAGGAAAACGCGACACAGAGCCCACTCTCGAGCTAGACTGGGAGTCGGGAGTGGCACATCCCTGATCGAACCTTATGGAGGGACCCCGATGTCCCGAATAAACGGAAGTCAAAATCGTAATTAATGAATTTATTTTTGGCGACTCCGTCCCACCGCGCACACAAACGCCGCGACCCACCGGAAACCAACCCTCTCGTTTCTTCACCAAGCACCCGTCTTTGCCAAAATTGCCGTAGTCATAAACAAAACTTAATTAGCGCATCGTGTAGAGCTCGTCGAGAGGAATACATTGCCGTATCTTTCGCCTTCAACAGACATAAAATGACGTCGCAAGGCAGTTTATGCGAGAGCCTGGGGCTTATGGGACCCCGGGATCCCGCCATCAGGTTCACTTGTGACCGTTCAACATGCGGCAAGAAGACGAACGCCTCCTGTAGAGACTTAAACCGACTGTTGGTGGCAATTGCTGTAAGCGAGTAACACCCATGAAAGCCAGCACGGCGAACGAGGGAGTGGGTGGCCTAAACCACGCACGCCTGGCCGCCTTTGTCTCCCCAGTTTCTGATGTTTATAGACTGCACCAGGTGCTGAAGGCTGAGTCGAAATTGGCGGTGGGCCTGGACCAGTTGAGATATTCGTCACGAAGTAAGAATCGAACTTTGGTCACGAGTAAACTCAACACGAAGGACGTTCGAAAGTAAATTATAAATCGGGTCACCCATTTCGTAGCGCTGCCCACAGACATTCAATCAGCACACACAAAGACACATGCACATTAATCCGCATAGCACGCACACACATTACACATTCATACAGTCAGCAACTGCAGTACTTGTGATTCGCACTCGCGTGACTCATGCTACCATCGCCACGGCATGTGTGCGAGTAACAGACCGTTTCGCAGTCCCCATTTAGTATCTGCAATGTTAAGCAGTTTCCCCCCACCGGGAACCGGTTAGCCAGTAGGGGATGCCACAAACTCCCACAGAGTGCGGCTGCGATAACTTTTAAACCCGTTGGGCGTCTTCAAAACGGATGAGAATCGCCACCTCTTTTTCTCCACCGAGCAAATCCAGACGTGTGCTATTTCTGGGTCAACAACCGCGCAGAATTATTTCAGAATCGTCGGAATGTTTATTCACACTGGAGGAATCCGATGAGCTGTAAAGCTATTTTTTTCCACAGATGTCCAGTAAGGGGCGGGTAAGAACGTTACAACAATCACTACAAAAGCACGATAGGATCGCAAAGTATAGGAAAGGTAAACAAATCACTTGAAGAAATATACAAATTTAAAAACAATTCTTACCAGGTAAAGCCTATTGAGGTATTAACTTATTTTTCATAAGCGTCCTGGTCACAGATGATAGCTTAACAAAGTGGCCCATCATGTGGACATTTAAAGAAGCAAAATTATCGTAATAATCTCAATGCACGTTGCTAAATGTGGAGGGGAGAAAACTCAATAACGGTACCAGATCTCTGTACAAATCAATTTCCCTCCACCCGAATACAGATGCCAATTCCCCCTGAGGGTGTCAACCCAAACTCGATACTCGGATACTCATTGTTCACCTGTGTGTCACACCACCACCACCCCCCAGTACCAACTCTCTTAATATATGTATTGACGTTATTCCATTGAGTAAGGTAAACATACATGATCATCATCGTGGAATTGTTGTCCACCCTGATGAGTAAG